TTTAAAAAAATACTATATTAATAATAGACAAAGAGAGAGAGGGGGGGCATTGAAAGGGAGAGGAGGGGACGAAAATAAATGCTTTGATTGGTATATTAATTTTTGATAGAGACAAAAACATAGTTAGAAGGAGAACTCTTGTGTGTACAAGTTTCTGTGTGTGTGTGGGGGGGGGGGGGAGAGAGAAAGAATTTGTTAGTAATCTGAACGTTGTCTACTTGATGGACCACATAAAAATATATTCAACATTTTAGGGACTAAAATGATATAATTGAAATATTGAAGATCAAAATAAAATAAACTCATACTTTTAGGGATTTCCAATACAATTAACCCAAAAAATAATACATTGGCCTTAAAGTTTACTATTAAACCCTTCACTATTAAAAGGTTTCATTGTAACCCTTTCAACTAAAAAGCTTTTCCTGGATTAATTACAATTTGTCCTTCCAAACTATGAGATTTGTGTCATTTTGTCTCTTAACTATTATTCTTTTGCATTGTCACCTTAACTATCAAAATTAATTTCGAATTGACGAATCCGTAAACGTCTGTTTGTTTTTTAATAGAAAATGTCAACATGTTGATACAAAGTGAAATAAAATCACATCATTTGAATGTAAACTGAAACAACTTTCAGTTAAATGTCTAATATACGTTAACCATTGGGTTCAAAAGGACAAAGCTTTATCAAAAGTTTAAATTGCCCTTATATATAAAAATAATACAATCCACGCTAATTTATTATCTCTTTCTAAACTACTCATCGACAAGAGCTTTGGGTTTCGAATATTGTGGAATCAATCAATTACTGTTAAATGAGTGTATGTATTCGTAATCAGACCCCAAGAGCTGAACCAAATCATTCTGCCTTTACAATTTTAGTTATTTTATTCATAGTTACTCTTCCGCACTTTGAAGCTTTATTGATCACTATCCTTTGACCAAAAACTAATGGTGGTTACTGTTACTGTTGGATCAGCAGTTGAAATATATTGCCTATTTTGTTCTATTATAAAAGCCTTTGAATGCTTTGAGTTGAGCCCTAGACTGGTTGTTTCAAGGCAATTGCCTGTTGATGCATCTTCACTACAGTGGCCTGGTTAGCTGGATGATGATTCTATATATTTGCTTCCATAGCTCATGTCACAATTTAAGTCACACGCTCTAGCTGGGGGTGAGAGCGGGGGCGTAAAAACAGAAAATTTTAAAACAATCTTAGAGCGAGAGCGCTTTAAAACCGTTATACTATATGCATACATACATATTTATATATATATAATTAATAAATATACGATAAATTATGATATATATGAGTAAAAAATTAAATTTCATACACAAATATATGATAAATTATTTAACTATTATTTTGGCATATAAATAATAGAGAGAATGATAAATTAAAAGTCTTTTTGTTAAAAAAAAAAAGGGAAAAAAGAAGCCAAAGGCCGAACAGATCCCACATGGGTAAGCTAAGCTTTGTGGCTAGCAACACTCTCCTTCTATAAATTGTAGTAAATAATAGGATTTTTTGGGTATGAGTATATTTTTTTAGACTTATTTGAGAGAAAGTGCATCGATAAGTATTTTACTTTATTAAGTTCAATTTTAATAAAATATTTTGTAATTAGGTACAAAATTCAAATGACATTTGAATTTTTTTACTTACTTACACTTTCTTAAATTATGCATTATTCTTATTCTTTCACACTTTCTCTCCTCCTATTTCTCACACCTTTTCTCTCTCTCACCTTCCATCTTTCTCCTCTATTTTCTCTCTATCTCTCTATGTTACTCTCTCTATCTCTCCCCTATTCTCTTTCTCTCTCACTAATAATCTTTTTTTCAAATATATAAATATTTGATTTGATTTTTTCATCTTCCCCAATTTTCTCTCTCTCTCTCTCTCCCCCTATTTTCTCTCACTGATGCTCTCTCCTTATTCTCTCTTTATATCAACATTACAATAGTACAATTACACAGATCAGTTATAACAATCAGTTGTAATTGTCCTATGATACATTAAACTAATTACTCGTGTGTTTTGATAAACCAAACAGTTATACTAAATAATTACACATGTGTTTTGATAAACCAAACAGTTATACTAAATAATTACATAAAATTATGACATCAACCCAATTTATCATTCAATTGTTTACATAAAATAAAGAGTTACATCATTTAATATCACGACATTGTTACACTAATCATATAAACTAAATTTGGTGTAATGATAAACTCTTTTGTGTAATGATAAGCACAATTTGATGTATATAATTAATGTAACCATGTCGTAATACTAAATAGTGTAACTCTTTAGTTTATATAAACAACTGAATAACAAATTGAGTTGATGTTGTAATTTCGTATAATTATTTGGTGTAACTATTTGGTTTATTATAACACACGAGTAACTATTTGGTATATTATATGGTAATTATAACTAATTGGTGAAATTTTGTTCTTGTAACAGTTATATAAGGAGAAAGAAAGAGAGAAAAGGAGAGAAAGACTAACAGTGAGAGAAAATATGAGAAGAGAGAGATGAAAAAAATAAATCAAATATTTATATATTTGAAAAGAAAATAAATTATGAATGAGAGAGAGAAAGAGAGATAAAATGAAATAGGGGAGAGATAGAGAGAGTACTGGAGAGAGAGAAAATAGGGGATAAATAGTGAGAGTAATGGAGAGAGGGAGTAATGGAGTAATAAATCACATTTTAATCTTTTTCAAAAAATGCACTTAGAACAAATAAGTTTTCTTAATTTAGTTTAGCTCAATTAAGTTCAAATTTTTGCATCGTCTTCCAAATTTTCCTAAATAATAACCATTCAAACTATATTGGGCCCTTGGTAGGAAAACCTTTAATTGAGGTGAGTACAACACAAAGGAGGTCGGCCTACTTAACATATTTGGGCTGGCCCAAGATAAATTTTAGGTTTTTGGGTTCATTAAGATTTTAAATATGCAATTTACAAATTTAAATTTTGTGTTTGTAGATTTAGCGGAGTAAGAGCGTGAATTCATGTCGATTCGCTCTCAATTCATGAATTTACGTTTCGAGCGCTGAAGCATGGCTTGTGAGGAATGAATCATGTGACTAAGGTCACAATGGCCAGATACAATTGAATTTTGCAATCTTGAGGAGAAACAAGTTGTTCCTCATCTTCATTATCAAGGTGTTGGTGTACAAAACTAGTTCACTGGTAGTTGGTGGTCTAACACCTTACAAGACAGATGAGGGGGGTCTATAGAGGTCCAAGAAACACCAGTGAGATCACTTTTCTCTTGATTTGGATCCTCTACATGTTACACTTTTTCATTTTTGAGAGTAAATTACACTGACACCCCCTAAACTATCACTATTTTTCTACTTTGTCCCCTCCACTACCAAATTTCTCATATTATACCCTCAGGTATGTGATTAGTTTTATATTACCTCAACATCCGTTACATATTTAATGAAAAATTATTTTATTTTGCCCCCCCAAATTATGTAATGTTTTTCACTTATACTTCGTCACGTCAGCGATATTTTTTCCAAAAAGATAACAAACGTTCGTGATTGGGGCATTGTGAAACAAAAGCGTTAGTTTAGAGTGTAATTTGAGAAATATAATAGTTGAAGGAGCAAAATGGAAAAGAGTGAGAGTTCAAGGGACGTAAGTGTAATTTAATCTAGTTTTCACCCATGGTTTGATTAAGTGGATTTTACTGGGCGTTGGTAAATCCAAATAAATCCACAAATAGAGTAGAACAAATTTAGACATGAATGATTCGATGAAGTGTACAGTTTTTTATTTTTATTTTTTGGTTTTTACCTTCGTCACAACCGAGGGCGGAGTCAGGATTTTTGTTTATCCCGAACTAAGTTAAGCATTCATAATACAAATATTTTTTAATATATTATGTGGCCCAAAAATTTTGTTTTTAATGTTGGCCCAAAAATTTTGTTTTTTAATTGTGGCCCAAAAATTTTATTTTTTAATGTTGAGCAAAAAAATTTTTTTTTTTAATGTTGGGTCAAAAGTTTTTGTAATAAGTTTGGGTAGATGATATAGAGCTCAAATTGTTTTGTTTTAAATGTGTTAAATTTTTAATTTTTTTTGGGTAAATAATGTGGGTCTAATATAAACGAGGAGCACACATAATATATTATATAAATATACTAGTTATAACCCGTGCCTGAAGGCACGATAAAATATAAAATTTGAGCGTCCAAAAAATCGATCCCACTATATTAAATTTTTTAAAAATATATTAATTACAAATTAATCAAATATTAAATGATTAAATATATGATAGAAATGCGTGATGTGATATTTTTAGGGAGAAAATATATAAATGATTAAACATGTGATAGAAATAAATGATGTGATTTGACGTTTGAGTTTGAAAAAAAGAAGATGGGAGAGGTAAGTGATTGATGATGATTTTGAAGGGAAAAATATGACTGGTATAAAATTCAAACACACTCTTATTTTATTATATAGATGATACATAAACCCTACTAATAAAAAAAAAAAAATTGAGGGGGGCACTTGCCCACCCTGGCCCAGCTGTCCCTCGTAATCCCTTCTGTGTTCTGATCAAAATAGGAATAGAAAACCCTGAAAAAATTTCTTTCTATGATTATTGAGACTTAAGCCTTAAGAGTTTTGAAAATTGGACTAATAATTAGTTATTTAATAAGTTAGTACTGATAGTCTTGTACGAAATTGATAATTTTTTATTTTTTTACTCTGGCTTCGGCCCGCTAATGGATCCATCCCTATCACAACTATAAATCGACCTACAAGGGACGTGGCACGTTTTTATTCGGCATTCAACAATTCTGACCAAGAAGGGGAACATAAAAACAACTCCTCCAATGAAACATACTAAAATTTATTCCAACGTGACTACATAATAATTTCTTACAGTGCACACCAAGTTATTTTCAATACAAATTACAGAGTACTAAAATTGCATAGGAAGAATATGTCGGTGTCTTTTATCCTATTTTTTTTAAAAAAAAAAGAAAAAAGAAAAAAGAAAAAAAAAATGAAGGAAGATATTGTGGTTACATTCCCTAGCTAGTAGAAATTTGAGTGCAGGGTTACCTTCTTTAGCTTATTGAGGAGAGAGGAAGCCGCGGTTCATGGGACATCTGCCGGCCACAGGATGCCATTTGGCCCTGGCGCCAGCGCCGGGACGATATTTGCTGGTTTGAAAGCATCCACAATTTCTTGCAAGTAGCGGCCTAAACCCTCCTCACCTGGAAAAAGAAATACAAAATGCACTAAACGCATTAATCCTATATACAAAACAATGTAATATAGTTTTGAAGACCACAAGAATAGCCTATGATACATACCCACCATATGTGAACTAATCAAACGCAGGATTGGACTGAATAACTATCAATCTGACTCTTAATATGGTGTCTTGCCAGTTACGGGATCGCAACGCTACATATTATCTCACATTTAATTTTTTGTTTCATTTATCCATATGATATTAGTAAGTATTTTCTCGTCCAATCCCCCTTTTAGCAAATATAAACCAGCCCTATTATGGTGATAGGCACTTCATTTGTTTGTCCACGAATCCATGTTTTATTTTTGTTTTTTGAATCTCTCACTTTTCTGTATTGACAAGATTAGTAGCATGAATAAATTAAACCCTATCATATACGAAGGGGCAGGGATATATATAAATTTAACAGGTTTAGCGGGTGGGGCGGAGATAAATTTTAGTCCATTCTTAAACGGGTTTATACTGTATCCTCATATACATTCACCTTCTAATACGTATGATCAATTCTCAGTCCAAATAGAATAGGTTTGGACAAATTGCTATTTTTTCTGGTCCACTACCATCCCTATTTTCGCATCAAGAAGTGGAGCACGGGATTCACATCCTTTCTAATACACTTCTTCTCAATTTTTTCAAAGGCCGATCACACTGTGTATTGGCGATGAAGCCAAAAATGTATATAGTGGATCCTATAATCCTATTTGAGTTTTTGGTGGGTGATTTACCATTAAAAAAAGTGTACTCTCGAAACAACAGCATGCATCTCTTATTTACTCACGAAACAACAGTATTAAATTTTCTTCTGTTATTTTAACACCCCCCCCCCCCCAACCCAACACACACACACACACACAAGAAGGTACAAAGACAAGAAAAACCATGGAGGCAAACTTACCAGTTGTGCTGGGCTTGGGTGTTTCAACTAGTTCCCTTGCATTCACTGCACAATAAAAGAGCAGCATAGTAATGAAGACAACTTCCCATATTATCAAAATCTTCCTGGAATCCATTCTTTTGGGTGGTGTGGTCATGAGGTTGTGTTTTCCGAGGGGGGTGGTGATAGTGAACATATATAGCCACCATTACAGAAGTTTTGCCTTGTCTGATCAAGTCCGAAGTCTTGAAAAAGACCCAAGAAGCCTCTAGAGAAATATGAATAATAATTCTACTGAGATCAAGGCGGTGTTTCGTCAGGAGCACGTCAAGGACTACATACACCAAATTTAAATTCCATCCACACACATAATAGATATTTAAAAAAAAATTACCGACAAAAATTAGATAACAACTTCAGAAAAGGTTGAAGAAATGGCCAAAAGATGAAATATCATATTATTATGCAACATAAAAAGATTATATGCATATATATTCAACAACTTTGTTAATTCGAATTGTGATTAAAATTCGCTTCGTTAATAAGTCTAAACAAGATATTGGTGATAGCCACTTCACCCTTAACCAGCCTAATCATGAAGTGGTTGTTTTTTGTCTGTTTGTTAGAGTCTCATTTTCTCTATTGATAGGACATGCGATAGGAATAAACCTTTGGTTCTTGTAGTTTTGAACATCCTCCGAGATTAGCTGCCTATCGTGTAGTTTTGGATGACTTAGGATGTGCTTAGCTAATGTCTGACGTATATCGCAAAGTATTCACCAAGAGGAAGAAGATATAATCTACATCTTTTCTAATATATTTTTTCTCAAGTTTCTTCGATAGTACTTCCCCAGCTATATATCGGTATAAGACTCACTTAAGTGTGTAGGGGATATTACTTAAATTTATGGCAAGCGAAATACTATTACGAGGAAGTGTAATGAACGGTATCCAGATTAGTAGAGCATGCATCTTGCTTATTACCTTAGAAAATGGTAGCTTCAATTTTCATGAATTATGTTACTTTACCAGTTTCTCGGGATCAAATAATTACTCTCCAAAACACACATGATAAACAATAATACTATTTTTTACTCAATTTATTAACTTAATCCATCCATTGAATTGTTCCATGGGTCCTAACTAATATTAGGATTCATTGTCAATTCAATGGTTATGATTTTTAGATCAATTAATTAGATCGATAAATTAGGTCAAAGTAACATTGATAGACGATAAAATGCATGCATAGAAGTGCATACGAAACAAAACGAAAGAAGGGTCCTAAGGGGGGGGAAATATTCATTACAGTAGTGACACCACTTGTCAAGGTGATGTGATATCACCAATTAATAATATTAAAATAAATGGATCACATAAAAATTAATTACTACCCTGCTATGTAAGCAAATAACTCCCTACTCTTCTTCCATATAAACCCAAATGAGATTCATCTTACTCATTTGAGATTTTATTATTGGTATCACTATTATATTCAAGATTTACTCCCTTCGGAGAACCCCCTTTGCGAACAGGAGAGGACCTAGCATGGTTTCCACCACCCGGGTCAGGCCGAGCTCGGCTTTGGGTTTGGGTTGTATATAAATTTATCTTTTATTACTGAGGAAAAAAAAAAAGAACCAAGAAAGAGCATGGATGCGGCAAACTCATCGGTTGGGCTTGGCTTGAGTTTAACTATCAAGAGTATTCGAGTCAATTTACGAATATCTTGACTAATCTCATCCTCAGTCTGGACAAAAATAGACCATTCATGTTAAAATTAGGGTATTTATAAGAGCTAAATTCCTCATAGTCTGATTCCAATGAATTATCAAGATTCAAACTCAAGACGTCTGAATTTATAACTCGTCCTTATTATTATTTGAATTACCTTTGAGGTTGGGTATTTCAACCAGTTCCCTTGCATTTACTGCAGAAGACGAGCAGCACAACACTGAATTAGAAAACTATCCAAATTAGGAAAATCTTCCTACAAAAGCCATTTTCTTTTGCATTTACTGCAGAAGACGAGCAGCACAACACTGAATTAGAAAACTATCCAAATTAGGAAAATCTTCCTAGAAAAGCCATTTTCTTTTTTTTTTGTTGTGGGGATGTAGGGGCGGAATCAGAATTTAATTGCAAGAGGCACAAATAGATACAATTGCACAACCAAGATTTTTATTTAATTTGGTCATTCAAATTTTATGTTGAATGTCAAATACTCAATTGTATGGTATTAATTTGGTCAATAGGCCGTGTACAATTCGCCAATATATGTCCACAGGACCACAACTGTATTAGTTGTTCCTTGTCTTCGCATGCTGAAGTCCTAAGACGCGGGAAGACTTCAATTTGTGAATGAGATGCACCTTGCCAGAAGGTAGGACAAATTCACGAGTAGAGTTGTGATTAGAAAAACCAGTAAGGGAGGCCCATCTTAATATTCAGCAGGGGCGGCTCAAGCCAATTAAGGTCTAAAACGAAAATATTAAATGAAATTTTTTTTATTTTTAGTATTATTTTTTTAAAAAAAATAATTTATTTTTAATTTTTTATGTGAGAGGGAGAAAAAAGAATGACGTATTAATGTTATCAAGAAAGAGATTTTAATATTTATTTTTACTTTTTACCACATAGAGGGAAAGAGTGTGTTTAATTTTAACTTTTTTTTAATTTTTTTTACCCGAGAGAGAGAGAGAAAAAAAAAATGGGTGGGAATAAATATGAGTTGACTTTTGAGTATTTTTTTAATTTTTAAGTTTTTAATGCTATGGATTGAATTATAGGCTCAAATTATTGCAATAAAAATTTTGATTGGATTTAATTTTTTTGGACTTTTTTTGTAAGGCTTAAAATTTAATTGATTTAATTTTTTTTTGTGGGTAAGCGATATATCTAAAACTATAAGGCCTTCTACAAATTTGGGTTCTAAAACTCATACTTTTTTTTCCATACTATTAGGCCGGCCTAATATTCACATGCTTGGCGCTCTATCATTGGTCCTTTTAATTAACCTAATATTATGGGGTTATCATAAATCTCAGATTTTTTAACCGATAACTCTTATGTGTCCGTTTTCAAATTTTGATTGTCGAATTCAGTTAGAGTCCTTCTCATGCTTCTACACTTTCAAACTGCCTAACCCAGGTCTCTCTCTTTCCTCCTCCTTTTTATACCTTTCGTCTTATACCTAGCAGTGTAAGATACATACACGCCTCTTTCTACCTCTGTTTCACTTCATTTTCTCTTCTACAGGCACAACTCCCTCTCGATCACTTTTCCCAACAGAGCCTCTCGATATTTTCTAACAATAATCTATTTTTGTATCAGTTTGCATTAGTGACACCCAAAGGCACTTTAATTTGTAATTGAGCAATGTTATACAAACTTGAAAAATTGACTTGATCAATCAGTAATATTGATTTAGATGAAGGTCTTAATATTTAATGAGATTCACTGTCTATTCAATAATTGTAATTCATCAACTCAACAAATCATGTCAATTTTTTAATTACAAATAACATGTCTTTGTAATTTGTGACCTATAAATGAGCTTTGGTGATATAACTAACTCTCGACTCTGTCAAAGATTCCTAATGAGATTGTACTTTCTAGATATTCACTATTTTATTTATTTATTCAATTTTTTAGGTGTAATATTTCAAATGTGGGGATCTAGGTAATTAAGTGACAAGTATGATGGAATCTAGGTATAATTTATTTATTTAATTTTAGACAACAAACTGACGGCGGTTAGGTTGAGGTGTGCATTGATATAAATTTCTATTTTTGAGAGTGTAAATTAAAATTTTTTTTTTTTGAGAGTATAGATTAAAATTCGAACAATCTTTCGAAGTACAATTTGAGATTTACCCTAAAAAAATATGTTACAATTATACCCCGGTGATTCGAAAAATGAGAAAGTGAGGCCCCACGGCGCCATTTTCGATGAGCACAAATAATGAAGCTAGTCCAAATTACAATAACTTAGATTAGTGATTTGGAATATAAGAATATTGACCGTAAAAAAATATGTTACAAAAAACTAAGTGAGCAGGTGAGAAAGCAAGGAAATACAAAATTCATGTTACAATCTCTATTATACTTGAAAAGATGGACAAGAAATAGGGTTATTCATGAGTTGTATCAGCTGGAGTTTAATCTAGTTTTGTTAGAGTCGGGTATATATATATAACTCTAAAAGGTGTGTAAGTATAGAAGTTATTTAATTCAAACAATATAAATAAAAATTTTAAATTTTGGCATTTAGTGGAAAGAACATTGTCATTCGTGGACAAGTCAACAATTATAGCATGCCAACATTATACTTCTAGCTAACAAATAAGAGAGTAACTACATCACAACAGAATTTGCGGTAGAAAAAAGTTGAGTAAATTACCTATTTTGTCCTTAGATTATATCGGATTTGCAATAGAAAAAAGTCGACTAAATTACCCATTTTGTCCTTATACTATACCAAGTTTAAATTCAGCCATTAAACTTTATTATGTGTCAATTAAACTCTCCGACATTTTGATTTGAGTCATTGTGAACCTTCTGTTCAATTTATCGTGTCTCACACATGATTGAGATTTTAGGTTTATTTTAGCAAACCATGAATACTTTTTGATGGACCAAGCCCAACTCATGTTGAAAGTCTAGTCTTAATTAAGAGTCCAAATTTATAAAGATCCACTATTTAGTCCAAAGGGGTGCATACCGGCCAAGTTCGCCAAGGGAGTAAGTAGAGTCTCCAAAAGCCTTTATCCACGCCGCCTTAGAAATGGTTAATCCTCACGTCATCCGTTGATCGAATTTTATGGAGAACACCGTAACTACCTCTTCCATTGAGAAGAGGTCGCTAGCTCCACCAAATCAACCACTTAGTTACTAGTAACTCACCCCAATCTGTTATGAGGCGACTATTAATTGTAAGTCTCGCCAACACTTGGGGGGCATCACATTCAGTCGAACACATCTCTCCTACCTCTCTCAGCTTGTAACTCCCTGCTCTTGCTATACACTTGAAGTAATAAAACTCCCCGAAGACCCTAGTCATTCAAAATGGACATAGGTCACGTTGACCGAACCACTATAAATTATTGTCTTGCTTGTGTCTCAATCTCTAACTTCTTAATTACTGCTCATTTGACAGGTGGTGTACAAACTCAATTTGTGCATCATCAGTTTGGCGCCGCCTGTGGGCACGACAAAATTCTCACCTAAGCACTCTTCTTCCTATACATATGACAATCACCACCAGATCCATGAATCAGCCTGAAGATAATCCACCACAAGAGGAGAAGGTTGCTCCTCCACTAACCAATCATTTTCCAAATGCAC